AATCTGCACAGCAGAGAACAAAAGAAAACTTACAAGGAAGCAAAGAAAAGACGGACAGCTCTCAACACAATGTGCAGTATTTATTGTATAGACTTTCTTGAAATGGAAATTTATTACTATATATTTTGAATCCTCTCATGTTGTGCTGTGCACATGACATCCTTTTCTTTTCTTACTTTGCATTTAAGTTGATGATATCTTTCTTTTTCTTTTCTCTATTGTACATTTGAGTTTTGGTGTTTGAATCTAAAATAAAAAAAATAAACACTTAAAAAAAAAAAGAAAAAGAAATTGAACAAGCCATCAACAAACTACCTAAGAAAAAATCCCCAGGGCCAGATGGATTCACAAGCTAATGCCAGCAAACATTTAAAGAACAATTAATCTCAACACTAAATAAAGTATTTGGAAAAATAGGGGAAGATGGAATCCTACCAAATTCCTTTTATGATACAAATATGGTGCTGATATCTTAAACCAGGAAGAGTGAAAACAGAAAAGGAAAATTATAGGCAAATTTCCCTAATGAATATTGATGAAAAATTTTAAATAAAATACAAGCAAAGAAATTATAGCCATATATCACAAAGATCATACACTATGACCAGGTAGGATTTATACCAGGAATGCAGGACTGGTTTGATATTAGGAAAACTATTAGCATTATTGACCATATCAATAACAAAACCAACAGAAATCATATGATTACCTCAATAGATGCAGAAAAAGGCTTTGAGAAAATACAACACCCATTTCTATTAAAATCAATACAGAACATAGAAATAAATGGAACTTACCTTAAAATGATAAGTAATATTTACCTAAAACCATCAGCAAGCATTGTCTGTAATGGGGACAAGCTAGAAGCCTAGTTCCTAATAAGATCAGGGTGAAGCAAGAATGCCCATTATCACCACTATTATTCAATATTGTACCAGAAATCCTAGCTATAACAATAAGAGAAGGAAAATAAATCAAAGGAATTAGACGAGGCAATGAGGAAACAAAACTATCACTCTTTGCAGATGTTATGATGGGAGAATCAACTAAAAAAAACTACTTGAAATAATTAACAACTTTAGCAAAGTTGCAGGATACAAAATAAATCCACATAAATCCTCAGCATTTCTATATATTACCAACAAAGTCCAGCAGCAAGCAATAGAGAAATTCTATTTAAAATAACTATGGATAATATAAAATACTTGGGTGTCTACCTGCCAAGACAAACCTAGGAACCATATGAACACAATTAATAAACACTTTTCACACAAATAAAATCAGATCCAAACAACTGGAAAAATATTAATTACTCATGGGTAGGCTGAGACAATATCATACAAATGACAATTCTACCTAAATTAATCTACTTATTCATTGCCATACCAATCATACTACCAAAAAATATTTTATGGAGGTAGAAAAAAATAATAACAAAATTCATCTGGAAGAACAAAAGGTCAAGAATATCAAGGGAATCAATGAAAAACAATGTGAAGGAAAGTGACCTAACCATACCAGATATCAAATTGTATTATAAAGCAGTAATTTAAAAAACAAGCTGGTACTGGCTAAGAAATAGAGTGGTGGATCAGTGGAATAGATTAGATACACAATACAGTGTTGTAAATGACCATAATAATTTAGCATTTGACAAATCCAAAGATCCAAGCTTTGGAGACAAAAACTCATTATTTGACAAAAACTGCTGAAAGAACTGGAAAACAGTATGGCAGAGACTAGGTATAGTCCAACATCTCACACCATATACCAAGAAAAGGTCAAAATGGGTACATGATTTACATACAAAGAGTGATACTATAAGCAAATTAGGAGAGCATGGAATACTTTACCTGTCAGATCTATGGAGAAGAGGAAGAATTTAGGACCAAACAAGAGATGAGAGAGTATTAAGAAATGTAAAATGGATCATTTTGATACTATAAAATTAAAGTTTTTTTTTCATTTAAAAGTATTTTCCCCAATTTCATGTAAAGATAGTTTTCAACATTCACTTTTATAAGATTGTGAGTTCCAAATTTTTCTCCCTCCTGAGACAGCAAGCAATCTGATATAGGTTATACATGTACAATCATATTAATTATATTTTCACATTAGTCATCTTGTGAAAGAGGAATCAGAACAAAAAGGGAAAAATCATGAGAAAGAAAAACAAAAACAAAAAACAAAAAACAAAGTGAAAATAGTATGCTTTGATCTGCATTCCAACTCTATAGTTCTTTCTGTGGATGTGGATAATATTTTTCATCATGAGTCCTTTGGAATTGTTTTGGATCATTGTACTGCTGAGAAGAGCTAAATCTCTCATAGTTGATCATTGCACAATGTTGCTGTCACTGTGTACAATGCTCTCCTGGATCTATTCACTTCACTCAGCATCAATTCATGTAAGTCTTTCCAGGTAAATTAAAAAGTTTTTGCACAAACAAAACCAATGCAACAAAAATTAGAAAGAAAACAGAAAACTGGGGGAAAATTTTTTTTTACAGCAAGTATCTCTGGTAAAGGCCTCATTTCTCAAATATATAGAGAACTCGGTCAAATTTACAAGATTACAAGTCATTCCCCCAATGATAAATGGTCAAAGAATATGAACAGGCAATTTTCAAACAAAGAAATCAAAGCTATCTATGGTCATATGAAAAAATGCTTTAGATCACTATCGAGTAGAGAAATGCAAATTAAAACAATTCTTAGGTACCACCTCACACCTATCAGGTTGGCTAATATGATAGAAAAGTAAAAGGATAAATGTTGGAGGGGATATGGGAAAACTGGGACACTAATGCATTGTTGGTGGAGTTGTGAATTAATCCAAACATTCTAAACAGCATTTTGGAATTATGCCCAAAGGGTTATAATCCTGTGCATTCCCTTTGATCCAGCAATACCATTGATAGATCTGTATCCCAAAGACATCCAAAAAAAAGGAGAAAAGGACCTATTTGTACGAAAATATTTATATCGACTCTTTTTGTGGTAACTAAAAATTAGAAATTGAAGGGATCCTCATCAATTGGGGAATGGGTGAACAAATTGTGGTATATGCTTGTAATGGAATATTATTATGCTATGAGAAATGATAAGCAGGATGATTTCAGAAAACCCTGGAAAGACATGAAGTGAGCAGAACCAGAACACTGCACACAGTAACAGAAGTATTATACGAGGAATTGTGAATGACTTGGCTATTCTCAATACAAAGATCCAAGCCAATGCCAAAGGACTCAAAATGAGAACTGCTATCCACCTCAGAGAAAGAACTGATGTCGTCTGAATACAGGCTGAAGTCGGCTTGCTTTCCCTCTCTCTTTTTTCTTCCTTCTTTCCTTTCTCTCTCTGAGTCTCTCTCTGTGGTTGGGTACTCCACATGGAGTACCCAAATCACTCTGGCTATCATTGACTGGCCAATAATAGGTCCAAGGCCATGCCCTTCTTGGTCATTCTTTGGTCCCTGACTGGCTCAGAGTGAACATAAAGAGCAATTGTTTCTGTTTTGGCCAGAAACCCTGAAGGTCTTCCCTCCCAGATTGAGTAGTGTTTTGTTTTTTTTTTAACTAGGTGAAAGAGGCCATTCTCTTCCTTATTTCTTTCTTAGCCTTAATCACTGATTGAGTGTTGCCTCAATCAAATTGAAACCTGTTAAAGACAACTTAAAAAGGCCAAGGTCCCCCACTGACTCCAAGGCCATCTTAGCCATCCTCATCTATATTTTGCCGCTGGGCCCAGATGGCTCCAGAGGATAAAGTGAAGCTGGTGACTTTGCTTAACCCTCCCTCAATTCACTTGGTAGTCTTGGCATCACTTCCTTGATGTCACAGTCCTCTTCAAGAACAAAGGACAAACAACAACAATAGGGAACTGTATAACCTATATCAAGTTGCTTACCATCTCAGGGATGGGGGAGGGGAGAGAGAAAGAGAGAGGGATAGAATTTGGAACTGAAAACTTTTTTTTTAAAAAACCCCAAACAAATGTTAAAATTTGTTTTTATGTGTAAGGGGACGGAGGAATAAAAAAAATTTTTTTTAAAGTAATTCTTGCTATATATAATTGCTCTCCTCTCAAATCTTTTCTGCTTCTAAATATTAAATGCAGACAAATCCTTGCAAATATGAAGTGAGAAAAGGAAACTTGCTTTTTTTTTTTTTTTAAAGGCTTTAAAATGTGGGTCTTATGCTTGGTGCTTATTCCCAGGTGGAGATGACACCTTTAACTCAAACTCATTCAGCTGGATCTTCATGGAGCAGGCAGTCTTGTGAGTGACCAGAGAAGAAGGAAATTCCCTGTACACAAGAGTTCATTTCTGATGGGACTGCTTTAGGAGTAATCATAGGAATAAATATAGGATTTAGAACTAGGAGGAACCTGAGAGATGAAAAACTGAGCAAAAACATGTTTGGTGCTCTGAAATCATAAGTTTTCTGTTGTGGACATTATTTCCCTCCCTAACTTTAAAGAAAAATACTGGCACTAAACCACATTCTTTGGTAAAATATAATCAATTCCCAAATTTTAAAGGAATTGTATTTCATATTCTTCCTTGGTGTGTACAACCAATTACTCACAAATCAAATTGGGGATTAAAGTTAACTCCTTTAGATTATTGGGAGAGTTTATACTCACATATGAATAATTAACATCCTCTCATTTAGACACTCCAGCCCCAGTCCCAAAGGAAACAACCAAAGTTAGCCCAGGACGGTCCACTTTAACGTGCTTGCAGGTTGGGCTGGCAACACACAGGCAAATTCTTTTATCACAAGCCTCCTCCTCCTCTTCCCCCTCCCCCTCCTCCCTCCTCCCTTCTCTTTCTCCTAACAGCACTTTTCCCTCCGGCCAGAAGGGAGCTGTGAAGAGTACTAAAAAAGTGGTACAGTCCACGCCGTACACCCCTATCTTCCGCGAAATAATGGTTTCCTCCAGTGTGGTAGAAAAGCCTTGCGGGGAAAGCTGAGCGCTCTCTTTCCGCTCCCACCGTGACGAGTCTACGTGTGTCACTCCTAGCAGTGGCAAGTCTCTAGGCACCATCATGGCGTGGTGCCCTAGGGCCGCCGGGGGGACGTTCCTCCCTGGACGCGGCTCTTTGGGGTCGCGCCCGCGACCACCCTGAGGTAGGTAGTCTGGCGAGGCCGGGTGGGCGGTGCTCGGTGCTGCTGCCCGCCGAGTGTGGTTGTCCGTGGCAGGTCAATGGTGGGAACCGCAGCGTCCCGGACGTTCGTTCGCAGTCTGCGCGTGCGCGCTCCTGCGGCCTCGCGTGGGTGGGAGCCCGGCCCCGGCGGGGGGTCTCCATGGGGGGCCCCTCCGGTGTACGCCATGTGTTCCCTATGCAGCCCTTTTAGTGGGGACGCGGCAGTGAGGCGCCTTTACTCACACCTGGAGTTGGGGTCAAAGGAAGTAAGAAGCGGGAAGCACTTAACTTGGTCATTGCTCAACAAGCATTTAATTTATTAAAGCGCTTATTATGTGCCGGATACTGCGCCGGGGTTACAAAAAAAGAAAAACTGCCCCGGCCCGCATGGGGAGACTGGGGAGTAATGGTCAGTCTTTAACCACCGTCTCCCCGGAGGGAAAAATGAGCGCAGCAAACACTTTTAAGTTTAATCAGCGTTACGGGTCTATCAGCAGAATAAGTCAAGCTTTGAATCGTCACGTTTGCCGGTTTCGGAGGTGTAGATGTTCACCCAGAAAATTTAGTTATGGAAGGAGGTTACAGCAAGTTCCAGCAAACTCCTGAGACAAGATGTAAATAAGTAAACCCGGGACACTTAGTGAATGGATGGTGGAGAGGGGAAGGCAGAATTGCATATATTTTCACAGGATAAGTTGACTTTTTAATGACCTTTCTCAGGCCCGAAATTGGCAAGAAACTGAATCGAAGACGTCCCAAGCCTCCCTGGAAACCGGCAAGTGTGCAGGTCCTTTAAGCCCACGAGGAAGCTGTAACGTTGTAAGATCTTGTGGCTCACCAAAAGCAGATTTAACTACAACTACGTAAGTCATTGAATGTCTCGTTTATTGGAATTTTTCAGGATATTTTGTCACGGTTATCAGTGCAAGAATTTTGCCTCAGGAAGGAAAAAATGTTCTAAGCCAGATAATTACATTTCTGTCCCTTTAGGTAGGAAGGGAAGGTAGTTGTCTTGAAGTTGTCTGTGCCCTTTGATATGCTTAGCAAGGGTTTGGTGGACAGGATGTAAGCTATTTGCCTTTTGTGTTGCCCGTTCACTTTGGTCACTAGTGGATGTGGTGTCAAAAAAGGCAGAAATAAAACACTTGGCAGCCTTTCTTCTTGCCTTGGGATTTTTGTTCCATTGGCGAGTGTGCTGTGTAAGTAACAAGTTATACTTCAAAGTATGAAGGCTTAAGCAGTATACCGAAGAGGAGGCTCCCCTCTTAAAGACACAAGGTTTACCTTTCACTCCTTCCCTGTAGATGAAATGGACAAGGACACAAAACCAGAATCAGCAGCTGCTGTCAGCATCTTTATGGATTCCTAAGGTGACTATGGTATGCTTTTTTAATTTTTTATCATTTATTGGAGTTGTTAGTGGGTTCCTATTATACTCTGCTTGATCCCTTTCTATATAGCTTATAGCTCTGTCATTAATTCTTCTCCATGCCTTTATCAGCTCCTTGAAAAGCCTTTGATAGCATAGTCTAGATTTTTTTTCATATCCTGCCTTGCCTTTTACTCCCTTTCTTATTTCACAAGCAGTTGTCTTTCTCACTCTTAAATTTTAACAGAAACCTTCTATCCTTTAGCTATTCCTGTTTGCATCTGATAAGTCATTAAATCTTGTGCACAGACTACCGGTTCTCCCTTAGGATCTTGTCTCATTTGTGTTTTTCTTCAGTGCTCATGCCCTGCTTTTTCTTTTCTCCCAACTTTATTTCAATACCGAGTATATAGTTGAGTCAAAGTGGGCTGTGATAGTTATGTTTTGAATGACTAATTTTAGATAGCGTGGAATTTTGTGTCCAAATCTCACATTCCATGTTTGTATTTTTTGATAACATTTTGTTCTGTAGGGGTTGAATGCTATAGTCACCAGGAAGAACAGGCTTTTTTCCAGGAGACTTGGGTTCAAGTTCTGGCTCAGATCATAAAAATTCACTTAAAAACAACCAACCAGACAAATCCAATTTCCATCTTGGTTTTTAGTCATACTGCAGCTGCAATTGCCTCAAGTAATTCTAGCCTTAAGTAATGTGACTATTAATTAGAATTTTTTTTCTTCCTCTTAGGGCTGTAAATCCTTTTTCATACATTGGGTCTCCAAAGAAGTTGATAAATCTTAATTTTATATTCCTGTTGAATTCCACAAGTAATCAAAGGTCTATATGGAAGAAAAGCTATTAAAAGGCTTTGGACTTGGGTGATAAGTGGTTTTAGATTGTTGAGCTCTCCAGAAGGGCACAGTCATCTGTAATTTTATCTGTTGTCTGTTATGGATTCTGTGTATTAAAAAAATTATATATAAAACAAAGCTTGGCTTCAGGGCCTTTTTCTTTTTAAAAGGTAATGTTCTCTTATTGTCTTGATATTAAAAGGCACTTTTCCTGAGAAGCAAAATTTTTTTTTTAATAAATGAAGAAATAGGCCAAAAGTAGGTGTTCTGATCCCCTGACAAAAGGTTGGTAGTCTCTGTCTGCTGCCTCTACCTCCCCTTTGCATTTGTGGTGCTGCCATGCAAGTGGCAGTCCAATCCCTAGAGATTTAAGATAATAAAAGGGAACAACCCTCATTATAAACACATGCCCTAAAACTCATAGCTGGTATTCCAGTGTTTGAATATGGCCAATGTAGCTTCTGAATAATTTGTAAAGAGCCTATGAAGATTAACATTTAAGACTATCCAATTTTGAGAACTCATTCCTGTGTTTGGGAATACAAAAGCCTTAGTGCTCAAGGAGACTCGGCACTTAAGTAAATAAAGACAAAGGTTTCAGGTTGGTAGAAAAGCCCAGAAGTACTAAGGATGTAGCCGCGGGGCCATTTCTGAAGCATCTGGCATCAGTATAACTTAAATATCTTTTCAGGCCTTTAAACCAAAACATACTGACATTTAAAGATCTTGTACATTGAAGCACTTGATTAAGGTTACAATGGCATAATTTACAGATTCAAAGGAACAATACTGGTACTTTGTCACAGATCAAGTGTCCATTTTGAAGTGGGATGTTTGTATGGTCTTTATTATCTTTGTGCTGTGTTTTCCATCCAAGTTGCTTGTAGATATCTGAGGTTTTTCTTGTATAAGGCTGTCTTTAGACCCAATTCTAATCTGAAAAAAAAGTTTGAAATAATGCTGAAAAATGAGATGTATAAATTAGATTTTTCTAAATGTATCAAGCACAGTGAAAGCAATTTAAGGAAAAAATGTTTTTCAGTGTTAGTGAGTAGTGAATATTAAGCTTCCATCACATGAAAGTGTGATTTGCCAATTGGACATAAAATGGAAAGCAATTGTAAATCAGGTGTCAAACAGGACCAGTACTCTTGAGTGCAAGAACCAGTATAAATATAGTTGGGTATAAGGTATATATAGAGTTTGATAACTTGTAAATTTTATACCATCAAACAAAGCAGTGAGGAAACACTCTGTGGAGCAGAGCAATGAATTTAGGACCTAAATTGAGTTCTTATATTCACCTTTCTGGGCCTCAGTTTCTTCATTTATGAAATGGGCTAAATGGGCTAGTTGACCTTTTTAAAATTAGATCTTTCTCCAGGATATTATGGGTTGCTTGTGGATGGTACATGTGAGAAATACTTACCACTACCTTCCTGTTTAAAATGAGACTGAGGAGTCTCCCTAAACTCAGTCTCAAGGATTCTAGTACCCATTCTATCTAGTCTGGTTCCCAACAACACTTGGGATATCAGAACTCCCACAAAATTGATTTCTCCTGGCTAGAAATACAGGGAAGTCAAATCACCTGAATCCTGAATTTTGGTTTTGTTTTGTTTTTTATTGTTCAACTGGTGATGGGGCAGATGAAAAGGAGAATAAATGGGGCAACTAGATTACGCAGTGGATAGAGCAAAGGCCCTGAGTTCAAATCCATCCTCAGACACATAACTCACTAGCTGTGTGACTCTGGACAAGTCACTTAACCCCAACTGCCTCACTTTAAAAAAAAAATATGAATAAATGCTTTTAAAAAATTTTAAGTGTTAGAATGCCATTTAGCCTGCAAACCCCAACATATCTTTAAAGGTTTCAGTGATCAAAATTTACATTACATTGGGCAAAGCACCCAAAGATAAGGGTATTATACCCTATGTGGACAGAGGGAGAGGAAGGAGGAAAGGGTAAGGGAGGGAAAGGACAGGACCTGAAGATAGCACTACTAAGGCTATATATTCCAAGAATGTGAAAGAGAAGGGACCTATAAACAAAAGTTTATAGTAACTTTTTGTTAGAAGCAATGGACTGGAGATAAAGTGGATGTCCATCAAATGGCTGAATATGTGATATATGAACATATTGAAATATTGTACGCTAAGAAATGATGAACCAATGAAGAGTAAAGTAGACAAAACTAGATGAAAATTTATACAATAATAACACTGTAAAGAAAAGCAGCTTTGAAAAAAATAAAGAACTATGTTGGATCCAATGACCAACCACAATTCCATGCTACCTACCTCTCGACAGGTTATAGACTCAAGGTGTAGAATGAATTTTTGGACATGGCTAGTGTGGAAATTTGATTGAATATGTGTATTACCAAGTGGTTTTGTTTTATTTTTTACAATTTAGGGGTATGGGCTGGGAGGGGAAAAGAAAAGAGAGTTGCCCAAAAAAACTCTTAAAAAGGACAAAAATGAAAGGAGGTCATTGAAAAGGAGAAAAGAAGGCCAGAAAGTATCACAGACAAGCTGGATAGCTTTGAAAGTTATGTGTTGAATTTTACTTGAAAGGCAAATGGTACAAATAGGCGTAATTTCATCTATTATCCTCAATTTCAGGTCTACTTTGTAAATGGAAGTGCTCATTTTATTTGGTGTCCTTAAGAATTTAAAAAAAAAAGCTACATCATTACTAACCTGATAGGAAGTAGAACCACTAAAACACTGTGCATCTGAAGATCGAGTCACAGGAAGTGGCGGCACTAGATCAGTCTTTGCACTATAGGGAGAAAATTAGGTTTAAAATGAGTGAATGGAAGGGAGAATCATAGAATGTTAAAGCTGAGTGGGACCTTAGAATCCCATCTGATCCAGTGTATCTCAAACTATGCTGCAAAGAACCCTGAAACATTCCAAGCGTTTTTTCTTTTTCTTTTTAAAATGAGCCTTATGATGTTTGTTAATAAGCATTCAAAAATAATTTTAAATGATTTAACTACAAGGGTTCTGTCAACGTTATGTTTAAATTCTGTGCCCTTCCCCCACCCTCAGAAAATTTGGAGGACAACCGATCTAGAATAATCTTATTTTACAAATAAGGAAACTGATTATCAGACAAGTTTAGTGGTTAAAGCCAGGTCTAGAATCCAAGTCTCCCATCCTACTCTAATGCTTTTCCCATTATCCCACTTTGCCTGAATTTCCTTTCCACAGATTTAGTCTAAGGATAAAGCATATATTTGGCCACCTATCCTCTCACTTCAGGTTTATGGTTTTAGAAAAATGTTAAACAAATGAATCAGAAATGCACACAGTCCATCGGTGGCAGAGCTGTCCATGTCTTCCCCTTCCAATTTAGAGTTCTGTGACACCAAAATTCCAGTACAATGTGCAACAAAAGCACACTGAGGCACCCCAAGCATTTCCAGTTTATTAGGAAGTCCTGGGGTCCCTAATTTATTGAATCCAAGATCTTCCTCATGATCAGGGGCCCACTCCTGGGTGCTAGCTACTTGGAAACAGCACTAAAAATAGAATGAGGCAGTACAGTTTCTTGATTGGTTAACACTAGAAATGGGGAAAATTTTATGATTAGTTGAGGAGCAAGAATTAAATACACTGTGAGGCAGAGCAGCTTAGTAGAAAAAACTGTGAAGATAATTTTGATACCCCCTGCTCAAATTAATAATGATTATATTTGTGAATTAAGCCGAATAGGGTCAAGTTCAAGTTAGTTATGTATGTGAAGTACTTTGTCAGCAGGCTTTTGAGTCATTAACTGCAGGTTTTTCCTGGTAAAAACATTCCACTTGCCACCTCAGAGGTTTTCATAGGAAATCAAACAATTGGTATTTTGGTCAGTGGCATCCTAAGAAATAAGTAAGTGGTAGGTGAAAGGAAAGGTCACAATTGAGCAGTGATAGTGATTCATAGCGGTAACAGGTGTTGATGCTGCTATGACAAGTTTCAGGGTCAAATGTAATGTGTCACTCTATAACAGGCAGTCATATAATTTTATCCTATAACCTACAATGATATCACTAATACATAAGGTTATTTAGCCCTAACATATGTATCCTAACAGTATTAACATTTATAACTTTTAACCCTATTCTGCTTAATTCACTATAACTGATACCCATCAAATCACAATAAACTGAATGAATGCTGATAAATTTGAATAGGTAGCATCAAAATTTTTGTCAGAGTTCTTCCTACTAAGGTGCTCTGACTCACAGTGTGTTAAATTCTCATCAAAATCTTTAGGCCTCCTTTAGTTTGTTTGCTTATTAGTTTCTCTATTCACTGATAAATACAAATGGCTGGATTATGGATGTGATTATGGATGTCTTTAAAGTTTGAAATAACCTCTTATCAAAGCCACTTCTCTCAAAATGGTTAAGACATTCATTATAGAATGAATGGCTTATAGTTTCCTCCTTTCCTCCAGAAGTCAGGGTCTGGTTCCACAATCTTCTAAAGGCTTTGGAGGCTAATGGACTGCTAATCAGTCTCTTGTCTAAAATCCACTCCACGTTGAGCCCAGTCTGGGCTCATGAAATTAAAACTGTGATCAGACCAACACACTTACTTCATTTCCGACAGAACTGATCTCTCTCCGTCTGAACACTGGGATCTTCGGTACTGGCGGTAACTTCGAGGGGAATGAGAATGCCTAATTCGAATTGGGTCACCTTGAGTCCTGAAAAAGCAATACAAATCCATGAAAATAAACAAATAGATCAGATGCCAGAAAGAATTTTTATGACTTTACAATTGAAGTTCCTCTTCTGATTTTCAAAGGAATGTGACTTTTAGAATTTTAAAGCACTAATCTTTTCTATCTTTTAAAAATTATTTAGGTTTCAAAAATTAATTATATAAAAAGCATTCTTATAGACACAGATGTAGGTGAAACATGAAATATTTAAAGATTTTAAAAAATCAACAAACCAAATGTTCTAGGGAATTATCTCCTGCCACAGGGTTTAGTCCAGTGACACAACAGAACGAGTTGGTAAAAGACTTTGAAAGGAGGTGTCTGTTAACTTGGAAATGGCCAAATGGGACATAAATATATAGAATTTAGTGCATCATAAGAAATGAGGAATATAAAGGATTCAAAGAAATGTAGGAATGTTTATATAAACTGATGCAGAGTGAATTAAGCAGAACTGGAAAAACAGTGACCACAACGTAAACAGAAAGAAGAAATTGAAACTGAAAGCCATGTAATTATAGTGACTGAGCTTGGCCCAGAGAAGAACTGAGAAAATGCACCTTCTTCCCTGCATTGTAGTTGGGGGCTATGGATGTGGAAAACTGAACATACTATCAGATAATCTATGTGTTAGTTGATTTTGCTGAGCTTTGTTCTTTTAAAATCTTTGTTACAAGGGAAGGCTTTTTAAGTGGAAAAGAGGGATCTGTTTGGAAATTAATGTAATGTAAAAATAAGGGGCATCAATTAAAAATAAAATTTCAAGAATGTATCTACAACATAGACCAAGATGGCACTCACATCAGAAGCAACAGGCTTACCTCCTAGCTAGCCAGACAAAAAAAGAGATCCAGCCTTTGATGAAAAGTTACCAATAAAAACTTTGCCAATTTTCATTGCTTGGTAGGACAAAGGTTCACTTTAATTATCAAAACAAAGAGTTTCATGAAGGAAAGAATAATAAAAGAGCAAATATATTTTTCGGAGAGGGAGGGAAAAGTTGATGCTCAGAAGTGAACAGAAGTAAAAGTCCCTCATCATCATTTTTTGGGGTCTGCTATTGTCGAGGGATAAGAGAGGGAATGGGGTAGGAAGTGTTAGGGGTGGAGAGAGGCTTCTAGGACCTAGAGTTGGAAAGGACCTTAGAGATTGTCCAGTCCCAACACCTTGAGGCCCAGAGAGATAAAGTGACTTTTCCAAGGTCACAGATAGTAAGTGGCAAAGGCAAGATTTGAACCTTGATTATATATTATCCATAATTCAGATAATATTAGAAATTTAGGAGGAGAAAGAATGCTGGGGGAGGATATGCTAAATCACATATGCCAAATGGGTACATAGGCAGCAATCACTATTCAATTTTATACTCTTTAAGCACTTATTTTGACTATACACTTAGGAAGGGCATATGAAAGTTTACCAAAGAGGCTATCTATTAGTTAAGAAACGACTGAAAAAGTGTGGTATATGGCAGCTAGGTGGTGCAGTTGATAAGAGTCCTGGACCTGTAGTCTGGAAGACCTGAATTCAAATCTGGCTTCAATCAAACAGTAAATTGGTTAATCAGCCTACTATGTGCCAGGCATAGTTCTAAGAGCTGGGTGTACAAAGAAGCAAAAAATAGTCCCCTCATCAATTAGCTTACAATTTAATGGGGGAGACAACATGCAAACAGATATGCAAAGCGAGCTATATACAAGATAAACAGGAAATAATTAACTTCAGTAAAAGATGGGATTTTAGTTAGAATTTAAAGGAAGCCAGGGAGGTCAGATGTCAGGGCAAAGGAGGGAGAATACTCCAGGAATGGGGAAAGGCAGAAAAGGCCTCGAGCAGAGAAATGGAGTAACTTATTTGTGGAACAGCTAGGAGTCCCAGTTGGACTGAAGAATACCTGTCAGGGAGTAAGGTGTAAGAAGACTGAACAGGTAGGAGGGTGCTAGGTTATGAAGGTCTTTGAAGGCCAAACAGGGCATTTTCTATTTGATGCTGTAGATAATAGGGAGCCACTGGAGTTAATGAATAGGGGTTTGAACATTCTTGGACCTGTACTTTTGGAAAATCACTTTAGTGACTGAATGGAGGATGGATTGGAATGGGGAGAAACTTGAGTAAGTCAGAACCAGCAGGCCACCAGCAGGAATAATCCAGATGTGAGATGATAGGGTCTTATACTGGAATAATGACAATGTTAGAGGAGAGAAGGGGGGTGTATTTGAGAGATTTGCAAAGTTGAAATTGACTGGCCTTGACAACAACTTGGATATGGGGTGGGGAGGGGGTCAGAGATGGTGAGGAATCCAGGATAAGTCTTAGGTTGCAGGTGTGAGGAACTGGTAGGAGGGTGTTGCCCTCTACAGTAATAGGGGTTTAGAGGGAAAGAAAACGAGTTCGGTTTGAACTTTGGGTTTAATGTCCATCTACTGGACATCAAGTCTGAGCTGTCTAAAAGGCAATTGAAGATGCACAATTGGAGCTTAGCTAGAGAGATTAGAGTAGGATTGGTTGATTTGAGAATCATCAACATAGAGACAGTAATTAAATATACTGGAACTTACAAGATCACCAGGTGAAGTAGTTTAGAGGGAGAAGAGAAAAAGATGGAGGACAGAACCATGAGGGATACCTATGGTTAGAGGGCATGATCTAGAAAAGGATCAGCAAAGCAGAGAGAAGGAATGGTCAGACAGGGAGGAAAAGAACCAGGAGAGAGTGGTATTCTGAAAACCTAAAGAGAAGAAAGTATCAGGTTGGAGAGGATGATCAACAATGTCAAAGGCCACAGGGAGATTGAGGATTGAGAAGAGGCCATTGAATTTCGCAACTAAGAGATCATTAGGAACGTTGGGGAGGGCAGTTTCAGTGGAATGATAAAGTCTGAAGCCAGAAGAGAGAAGAGGGTGAGAGAAGAGAAAGTGGAGGTACCTACTGCATATGACCTTTTCCAGCAGTTAGGTACAAAACACAAAAGCAACATAGAATGATTATTAGCTGGGATGGAAGGATGAAGCGAGAGTTTTTTAGGATGGGGGAGACATGGGCATGTTTGTAGGCAGTAGGGAAGGAGCCAATATACAGGGAGACATTGATAATAAGTGAATAAGAATGACAGAGGAAGCAATCTGTCTGTTGTAGGAGATAGGATGGAATGGAATCATTTGAAGAAGTAGAGGGGTTTCTCTTGGTAAGAAGTAAAGTCATTTTATTATATGAGACACAGGTGAAGGAGGAGATAGTGGCAGAAGGCATCTGAGTGATAGGAGATGAGGAAGAGAGGAGAAAAGGGAGTTCATAGTGAATGACCTCCATTTTTTTCTGTAAAATATGAGTCAAGATTCTCACTGAGAAGGGAGTGGGAGGGAGCCATGAGATGATTGAGGAGGGATGAAAAATTTTGAAAGAGCTGCTGTGGAGAGTGGGATAGTGAATTGTTATGGGAACTATAGTAGGATTGCCTAGCAGCAGTGAGGGTTGAGTTGAAGTTGTGTAACATAAATTTGTAATGGACACAGAATAGTTGTGTGACTGTCCATCTCTGTTCCACCGCACATGTGTAGAAGCAAAGGAAGCAAATTTTGGGAGTGATCCAAGGTTGAGGCTTGACTAGGTATAATCAGTGATATGATAAGGGGGTTATGGAATTCAACAGAAGAGGACAGTGTAGAGTTGAATTGGTTCACCATGGGACAAAGATGGGGAGGAGAGAGTGGCTAGTGCAGGGAAGTTGGAGTAGGAGAGAAATGAGAGGTTAATGGATTAGAGGTCATGGTGCAGATAAAGAGTAGGGTTTTTTAAAGGGAAGGCAAAGGGAGAGGTAAAAAGTCAACAAATTATGGTTGGATAAGGAGATTTCAGAATTCTTGAATACAGAGGTGGTACATTTGTGGGTGGTGGCAAGAACAAAGATATGACCATCTGTCTTTGTGTGTGAGTGAGGCTGGATGGAGGAGTAGTTCATGGGAAGTTAGGAGACTGAGAAACTGAGGAGTTAGGGTACTTCAGGTAGAGTCAATATATGCTGCCACTGCACAATGACTGAATATAGAGGATCCCAAGAGGCTTCCAGAAGCATGCTTGATATGTTCAAACATAGGTATTTCTTTGGGCATCCTCAGTTGAAATTTGTGGGAGACATATTTAAATTTCAGGAATTAAGGTAATAGGTTTTTTTATTGTTCTCATGGCATTTTAAAGGATTTACCACGTAGTAAAAATTCACTATAGTCTTTAAAGGCACAGCTGTTCCTAAGATAGAAAATAAGCAATTAATAGAAGGAGATAGTGATTCATGTCCCTGCAAACAAGAATTACTGGTTTTAAGGGAAGTTCTCACATTCATCTTCATCTTTAAAGTACAAATTAAAGACAAAATTCACAGAACTGACTAAAGTCTCATTTTACTTAGAATAGTTACAAGACAATGGGTAATGCTTAGAAGACTATTCCTCAAACTTTTGTGAAAATAAATTTCAAGGATAAACTCACTCTATTTTGGTGTAAGGAATCTCTTTTAATTGTTCTTCTGACAATCCAGAAGGATCCACAAGTTCTTTCCTGGAAGGGAACAGGCAAGAGAGCAAAGTTTACGATGATGCAATTGCCTCAAAGACAATGGCATTAATCATTATTGGCTCACTAGTGTCCTGTGTTAAAACATATTGCAAGATCAAATGTAAAAATAGGTGAATGTTAATTCAAATTCAAGGATTTGTTCTAGCAGCTGAACACCATGTTTGTCTGTCTTTGTCTCTCTCTTGGACTGTCTCTGTTTCCATCTGTCTCTCTCTCACACACATAATTGTCCTCAGTGCTTATTTGGGTCTGGTTGGCCTGTCTTATATCCTCTTACAAGTTACATGACCCTAGACTGGAAAGTTCCAGAGCTTTCTGGTGGTCAGGGGCTATCTCTATATCAGCAACAATAGTATATGATGTATTCCAGCCACTTTATTGGCACGTCACTGTAATAACAATAAGCACACGAACAGGATCCAGCCTAATGATAATTTTCTGAGTGTTGGCTACACTTTCTTCTACAAGCTTTACATCAACACTCAGGTCTGATAACCTTTCTTGCAATACTCACTGAATATGTTTCCACAGCTCTTCCTTTGCTTGGATATCTGGGCTTCTCCTGTAATCACAGAAATCAGGAATCAACCCTGAAATCCTTGAATTTCACTTGGCCCACTGACAGTACAGACCTTTAATCTGGCAAGAGCAGCAGGTGCTAAGGTTTGGGAGAATTAATGAGTTTTATGTGAAGATTACAAACACTTTAACTATAAGAGTCATCAAAGCCAAACAAAACAAAAATCAGGCCCTCTTAACAACAAATGAACAGTCCATGATAATGACGTATTTCGAGTCTACTTAAGGACAACTGTGTTTCCTACAGTGATTTACTCCTTCTAGTTTCCTAAAAGAAAAAAAAAAGGCTAATGGGCTTTTCTTTTCTTTCCTTCTCACCACTTTTAAGTTGAAGCAAAATGAGTAAGATAACATTTTGGTTTTGTTGACACTGTGGTACAACATGAACTGTCTTGACCTAAGGTAAAATAACAACTGCAAGGGAAAATGAGTTAGTGGAACTTTCAAGATGGCGGAACAGATGACACTCAGCTGCTTAGGGAGCATACTTTTGGTGAGACACCTTTTATGTCACAATTCTGCAGAGGTAGAGGCTGTTCTAAATTAGACAAGGCTCCACCCAGCTAGTATATTGGAAAACTGCTGGTAACTTGGAGATGGTATAGCTTCTGTTCTGCCATCTTGGTAGTTCTACCAACTCCCTCTCCCTTGTAGCTATTAACTTACACTGCTGGTGTATACGCCTTTATTAATACTCAACTAAGCTATCCATCTTCAGAAAAAGATAGTTTAAAGCAGTTGTGATTTGCACTGGACATCAAATATCTGATAACAAAAATTCTTAGAAGAAGTAAAGAGAATATTGCTAACTGCTGTAAGGTTTCAAAAGTGTCTGGATATCTGATACTTGTGACTATTCAACTATCAGTTACTCATTGGACTGTGATTTTGAAGATAAGTGAGACTGAATGGCCTTTAACAGCAGTCTGGCCCTCACCATTGCTTCTATTACTTAGCAATATAAAAATTAAGTAGACTCTGAATGAGTCACTAATAAGCATTCTAGGTCTCAGTTTCCTCATCTATAAATTGACTAGATGATCTGAAAATTCTCTTCCAGTTCTAACCTACAATTCTATGAAATGATTCAAAATTAATATAATAATCCCAAAGTAATCAATTTTCATTCCCACAACTGAATACTAGTAAATTAAGAATAATTTTGTATGGTTTTTTTTTTGTTTGTTTTTTGGGCTAGGCAATGGGGTTAAGTGACTTGCCCAGGGTCACACAGCTAGTGTTATGTGTCTGAGGCCGCATTTGAACTCAGGTCCTCCTGAATCCAGGGCCAGTGTTCTATCCACTGCCCCATGTAACTGCCCTGTATGTTATTTTTAGAGTGAATTGGTAATTTTATCTCTATCTATTAAGCTTTATGTTGCCCATATTCTAGTTCAAATTGTGTTTGGAATGCCCAAGATTCCAGGGGATACTTCCAAAGCTAAAGAAGTAAACCCCAATTCCTTTCAATTGCCGTGTGTGTGTGTGTGTGTGTGTGTGTGTGTGTGTGTGTGTGTGTGTGTATGCTTTTAAATAAATCTAAATTGTGCTCTGGGCTAATAAGGAATGCATTAGCTTTCTGTTTGCACCAATATACACTTTAGTTATAAGCTAAAAATCATTAATATTTTTATTCTATTTGTTAAGGTATATTATGTAACTTTATCTTAACCCAAGCTAATATATTTGACTTTTTCTTGTTCTTTTATTTTTGCTTTTATTTTTTAAACACTTCCATGTACTTAAATGAATTAGAAGTTGAAATTTAACTGGATTTTAAAGCTTTCTAAAAATGTTAGGAAAGGAGGATAGATTCAGGTAAAAGAAAAAAATTGCCAAAGCATTGTGTCTACTAAATTCCTTGTAAACATAAGCTTTGGACCTTCAAGGTGTTGTTTTTCTTGTTTGTGAGTGACTGTTCACTTCAAAGAGGATCCTTTGATACTTCAATAAATGAACTTTTTACTCTGAAGTCAAAAACAATCAAAGCGTACACCAAATTCTGCTTTGTAGTGAGCCTACAATGTGTTCAATTTTAGAGCTAAACTCTTTATTCAGTAAAAAAACAAAACTCTCACAGTACAAGCTATTCAATTCTTATGTTATTAAAAGTTATTCTTATGTTATTAAAGTCCTTAGTATAAGAGTATCCCTTTGAAAAAAATGGCATATCTTAGATTGGCAAATGATTTAACTATACTGACAGACTGAGTCTGTGTCTTACAAAGGCATGCAGGGTAATGGCTTCACCTAGGCTTCTTTAATACGGTCCAGCCCTCTTAGCATCTCTCCTGACATCTTTCTGCCTAAGTCTCAGACTACCTCCCACCTACGCAGGTTCTCTCTAGCATTCACTTTCCTACAATTGGCCACCCCTCTTTTTATCTGGGTCACACACTCCTACCTGGCAAAAGTTAATTCCAGATATCCTATCATTTACTCCAGGGACATAAAAGAATCAGTGGTGAATCTAAATTCACTTCAAAGAACTATGCTTTGTGAGCCTGTAAACTCAGATGGCACATAGATTAAGAGTTAAACTATTCTTTTATCAGCTCAAATAAAAATTAATTTCAGCAACTGGAAATCTCACTGTCGAAAGGGGATAATTGTGCTCACATGTGGTATCACCTAGCAATACCATGATCAGCAAAGGATTGACTGACTGTTATTTATCAACTCCTGCTTACTAGAATTAATTTAAGTTATTTTAGTCAATGTCAATTTGATTTGACTAGATTTGCATTTGGTTCAATCTGGAACAACATATTAAAAATCTTGGTGACACACTGTATGGTTTAGCAAGTACTTCAATAGCCTTTCAAGACCAAAGGATCATAAGATCTGTGTTAAAAAGAATCTCAGGCATCATCTAGTCCAACTCTCCTTTCCAACTCTCCATTCAACAGATGAGGAAACTGAGACCCAGAGAGGTCAAGTGACTCGCCCTAAATTATACAAGTAGTACATAAAGATCCAGAATTTGAACACAGGTCTTCTGATTATAAATCTTGGGATCTTTCCATTTCCACTTTTTTTTTTTTTGAGCTGGGCATCTGCCTGTTTTTCTCTCATTTTGAGGATAGTTTGTTTTATAGTGACTATCAGAAACCAAGGCAACTAAATATATAAAAGTAGAAAAACAGTGGAATAAATCAGTTTGAATTGATTAATTATGAAAGCTGTAAATATGCAAGAGAAATAGACCAGCCTGATTGGTTTGACATGTAATATACTTTTTCAGTTTTTGTTTTTTAACATGAAGCGTTAGAATATTTCACATACGAGCGTGATCTGTGTCGGGATCGCCGATTATTGCGGTTGGCTTCATTTTTTTCCTTTTGATTCCTCAATGCCGCTTCCCACTGAGGCACTGAGTCAATCATGCCATTCTCCTGCCTTAACCTGGAAGAAAAAGATTCATCTGAAGTTAACATCTGTGGGGTCTGGCATCTTATTTTTAAATTCCTGCTTTTAAAAGTTGTGGCATAAGGAGGAAATTTCAGTACTTGTCATCTTAGAATGTACTCACCAGGAAAATAGATGTAAATAGATGTAAATATATGTATGTATATTCAAATATATGGATCAGATACATATGTTGTTGACTAGTTTTACTTAACTATTTTTCTTTTTAAAAGGAAGAGTTCTAAGGGGAAGATGTGAGCCAATGGCTCATGTACAAAAAAGAAAAGTAATTAATAAAACTTTGAGGTATATGTAATGTCTATATGTATACATATACATGGTATTCTTAGAGTAGTATCTGTTGCCAGTTTTCTAAGGCAAAAAAGTATATGACTATGGGTGTATATGTAGGTATATAGAAACTTTTTTTTTAAAAAGTTCAATTTCTGAAATTTAAACCTTAAATTCAAGTATTCTTTGAACCAAAGACAAGTGTTTTTCACAAGATCTAGAGAAATGCACTAAGATGAAAATGAAATAGGAAGCACAGTAGCTTCATATATAAAAATACTCTATGACTTCCTTCTTCAAGCTTGCAAAATTTCATTTAAACATGATGAAATTTGTGTAAGATAGGGGACAAATATGATAGGAGATAGGAGAAATATAAAAAAGTTAAGTAAACTGCCGAAGGGACCATAACTGCTTCGAGACCTTTGATTTCTGACATCATTTCCATCCTGATACCTTCCTATGAAAGTTTTATTATACTTTTGAACCATTATGGAGTTTTTGCTGCTATTCCATGATCTCTAGAGAATATATAGATTTTCTTTTTCATTGAGTGTTTTTGTTTCACATTCCTTTATCATAAAATTATTATTGCTTTGGACTTTTAAAAAGTTCTTCCTCATTTTGATTTCTGTATTTGAGTGTCACTATTGATTTATCTACTTGGGAGCTAGGATTATACCCACTAATTCTCAATTGGATTTTTTGGTCTTTCATACTTTTTCAAATATTCCCATTCCATTGTCTCTGGCTTCATTCCTCATTGTTTGGGTTCCTCTTCCTTCTAGTGCTGTAATTTCTATCTTTTCTCTCAAACTGTGTCAGCTTCCTCTGGTACGGTGATATGTGTGCAGGCTGGGACAATGCCCAGAATAAATGGACTACAGTCAGGTTTCTAGTCCCTTTTACCTTAGGCATAGAAGCCCAGTTCTCTGTGCCTAGCCAGTCTTCCATTCTGTCCCCTAGGACACTCCTTGCCTTGGTGTGTCTGGGCAGGACCATAATTTTCCACTTCTTGCCAGCTGTAGGAGGTTCAGACCAAGTCAAAGACTTGTGGGAGTATGGGTTAGGGAATCACCAAAACTAGATCTTGACATATAAGCCTGTGAGGTAGGCCAGGCCAAGTGGGAGCTTTAAGTATTTTAGCTCTATGATGTTATTTTATAAGACTTTTATTTTATTCATCTTTGATTACTATATGTGGTACATATTTCCTTCTTCTGAGGTTGTCAGGTTAGGGGGAGTTATACTAAAAAACAAACAAAAAAAAAACTACGCTATCTCTGATTATGTGATCCTTCATTCATTTATTTTAAATAACTACCCCCATCGCTACTGCCAATAAATCATTCTTATTTTCTTTTATAGATGTCACTGTCTCCTTCAGATATTCCTTTGCCCTTACATACTAAAAAGACTTATTATTTATTGGCATTATGTAAATTTCCTTGTATTTTCAACTATTTTTTTTTTTTGAAGATTGGGTCTCCTTATCTCATCTAGGCTAGAAATGCAAGGGCTACCCATGAGCCTGATCCAACTATAGATTGGCACAGGAACTTTGATATGCTCCATTTCTAACCTGGGCTGGTTTGCCCATCCTTAGGCAACCTGATGCCCCTACTCGCTCCTAGGGACTAACCATATTGATATCTAAATAAATGTGGATTACAGACATGTGACACCACACCCAGCTCTCAATTTTTGTCTTAACCTGTTTTTAAAATGCTCTTCAGATATAGCTCCTGAAGGATGCTTAAAGAACAGAAAAGAATTTTTGCAAGCAAAGATATGTCCTAGCAAAAACTTGTGTTAAAAATAACTTATTTTCATTTCACAATAGCTGTGATTGATTTTTTTTCTTTTCTATATATTTTCAGGTTCTACAAGGCCTCTTATGTATATGTCAGCAAATGCCCGTTTATCTGTATGTTTTGATCTCTTATATGTAGGTATCCCAGACCCTAACAAATGTGGACCCCTGTTTTAATGTATGATCATGCAATAGTTCATTTCTTGATTCTGTGCATTTTCACTGGCATTTTCACTATCCTCCATACCTGGAATTCTCTCCCTCTTCATCTCTACCTCCTGGCTTTCTTCAAGTCTCTGATAAAAAACCACTTTTTGCAAGAAGCCTTTCGCAATTCCCACTGAACCTAGGGCCTTCCCTCAAAGATTATATTCAATTTAATATATGTGTATATACATGTGTATATGTGTATCTATATCTATATGTCTGTATCTTGTTTGTAGATAGTTGTTTGCATGTTGTCTCCCTTATTGGACTGTGAGCCCAGAAGGGACTGTTTTGTCCTTCCTATCACTTAGCAAAGTGCCTGGGACATAGCAGGCACTTAATAAATGCTTGCTGACTTGACTTGTGCTAGGTCAGCATTACTTCAAACCCACAGCTCACGAGCTTCTTTGACCAGATTAAACAAGAGGCTACATTAACTCAAAGCAAAAGCTTTTAAGCAGAATTCCTGGGAAAAGGTAAAAAAAAAAAATCCCTTACCCAGGGAGAGTATACTCTCACACAATCCCATACCATTTGTGGGAAAGGGAATTTAAGGAGCTCAGACTACTTAGTGTTCCTCAGGTTAAGTCCCAGCTGGAATACCCATCTCCCAATCGACAAAGTTGCCTCCAGGTCCTTCCCCGAAGTCCTGCTGATAATCATCTCTTAGGCTGCTTTTTCCCCACATTGTACCATAAGTTCTTTGCTGAGCAGCTATGGCCATTTTCAGAATTTAAGCCAGTAAGCAGTGTCTAACAGCTGGGGGATGCAGATAGCTCTTTTTCTAAACACAGCCCAGGGCTATTTCAGTTCTTGTCAATCTCTGAGAAGTACCCAACAAACATTGTAAGAGTTTCTTAGTGCAAATCTTTTTAAAGCCATAAATTAACACTCCAAGGGAACTATAAAGCATTTGAAGAGCAATTCATCTATAAACTAAGTACATCTATTATTATTCCCCCACAATAGAAAAAGATGGCACTCCACTAAATTCTTTTGGCATTCAAAGCTCTTCCTTGCCTGCTCCTCCACAACTTTCCAATCTTATACCTAATCCCCGTCCCTGGACCCCCATGTACCCTGTGATCCAGTGATACTGGCCTTCTTGCTGTTCCTCATATAAAATGCTACATCTCCTGATTCCAGGCATTTTCACCGACTGTCCCTCATATCTGGATTGCTCTTTCTCCTCATTTACATCTCCTGGCTTCCTATAAGTTTCGAATAAAATCCTACCTTCTACAAGAAGACTTTTAATTATAGTGCCTTCCATTTGTTGACTCTTTCAAATTTATCCTGCATATAGCTTGTTTGTATGTTGTCTCCCCCATTACATTGTGAACTCCTTGAGAGCAAGGATTGTCTTTTACCTTTCTACCCTCCAGTGTTTAACATAGTGCCTGGCCCATAGTAAGTGTTTAATAAATGTTTATTGATTGACTAATATATTTAGGAGTCCACCAACCAAGACACATACAGGAACTATTTTTTCAGAAACAAAGACAGCCCTAAATAAATGGAGAGGTATTAGTTGCTTAAGATTGAACTAGGTCAAATATAATGAAAATACTATCTAAATTAATTTACAGGTTCAATGCCATACTAATCAAGCTACTAACGCATTACTTTAGAGAGTTAGAAGAAAAAAACAAAATTCATCTGAAAAAACAACAGCACAAGATTCTCAAGGGAAATAATGAAATAAGCTGGAAGTAAGGAGGCCTAGCAGTACCACCAAAACTACTTGGTACTGGTTAAAAAACAGAAAAGTCAATCAATGAAACAGATTAAATACACAACATACAGAAGTAAATGAACATGGTTACATAGTATTTGATTAAACCCAAAGACCAAAACTACTGGGGTACGGACTCACTAGTTAACAATAACTGTTAGGAAGATTTGAAAAGTCTGCTAGAAATTAGGTTTAAACCAAGATCTCAAACTATCTCTCACAATAACCTTGAAATGGGTCTAGTTCAGGGGTGGGGAACCTGGAGCCTGGAGGCCACATGTTACCCTCTAGGTCCTCAAATATGGCCCTTTTACCAAATCGTTCAGTCAAAGAGGCACAAAGTCCTCAGCCTCACTTTCCTCCTGAGTCATTAAAGTCCAGTAGCAGGACAAAAGTCAAGACGACTGGTGATGGCCCAGGATGCAGTCTGTGATGCCTGACCAAACTCTAAGCACTCCATAAAGTCTGCTCTGGTGGCCTTCATGTCCACTGGAGGAACAAATTGTTCTCACCTGCCCAATCCACCTGGGAAAAGACTTCACATGCTTGGGGTAGATATCCCCCTAAATCACCTACAGGTTTGAGGCTGTTTGGTTACCCTCAGCCTGGTTTCGGCTGTCTACCAAGATGGTTTACTGGGGTGTGGCCACTCTGTACTACAGCTTCTTGGAGCCACAGGTGAGAGTTGGGTAAAGGTGGACACCAATTGTAGATGGAGCATCCCTGAAAAAAGCCTGGCAAGCCCTCACACCAGAAGTGCTAGTCCTCCCTGAACAATTAGAAGATGAAGAAAGAAAATATCTTTTACAACTATGAATAGAGGAAGAGTTCATGCCCAGGTAAAGGATAGAAATGTTCCAATTCTGGCCAAGTTGGGAAAATTAAGACAGATGAGAGGAAATTTTTCTTTTTAAATAAAGGATGAAATATTGTAGCGGGTTCTTGGGGTTAACAGTTCCATTTAACTTCTCACATAAACACAGTCCTATCATTGTTCTCTCTCTGAAGAGTAACAGAAAATGCTTAATTCTTAAAACAGAACTGCTGAAGCAAGATTATTGAAGTTTTATCTTTCAAACAAGGCAAGTGGTTTGCAGTTTTGAAAATTTTGTACCCTCCTATTCTTACCAGCTTGGAAATGAAGAACCTCATTTAAATCAGGAAGAGAATGTTTTCAAAGAGAATGTTTCCCCTTTCCCTCCATATGACTGGTGCAAAAGATTAGAACATAATTGTCTAGGTAAATTAGAGCTGTCACCTAAAGGAATTGGAAGTTTGTCAAGTTTTACCTGACAAGATGAGAAAATGCCTGTAGACACTGAAAGTTTCAGTTAGGATTTAATTAAGGAATATAGAACTAGTGATTTTTTTTTTCCACCCAAGTTGGGATAATAGACAATCTTTATTTTTGGTAGCTATCAAAATGATAAGCCAAAAGAAAAGTTTAAGATTGTCACCTTTCAAGAAAAATGCCAAGAACTGCTCTGAGGCTTATCTTCTGGAAAACACTGGTGGATTTAAATGACTGGGAAAGAAGAGAAAGGTGAGAAAGGTGGCCATTAAAAAATAATGGCTGCATCCTCTTAACTTTGTTTGCCTACTGTGCTAGTTACTCTCTGAACAGGAAGTTTTCCCATGAGATTGATTCTGAGCCTGGCTTTGACACCATGTGGCTATTACTCCAAAAGGTATCTATTTATACTTGACATCAAACCAGAGCAAAAGGAGGTTAACCCCCTTTGCAATGGTCTTGCCTTGGTCAAGTTGCTCCCAAAGCTTGCCTTCACTTGCTGCTAGAATCCCTTAACTGAAATACACGGACCCAGATATGTGTTTAATTCTTTAAATCAATCCCAATCCATCTGCTATGTATCATATTTTCTCCCATGGCTCTCAAATTAAGAGCTTCTTTGGCCTAATTTGATTTATTTCACTTAGGGGGCAGCAAGGTGCGGTGGATAGAGTGCCTCAAGACTCACGTTCATGAATTTAAATCTGGCCTCAGACACTAGCTGTGTGACCCTGGATAAGTCATTTAACCCTGTTTGACTCAGTTTCCTCATCCATAAATGAAAAGGAAATGGCAAACCACTCCAGCATCTTTACCAAGAAAACCCCACATGGATCTTGAAGAGTAGGATATGACTGAAAAACAAGTGAACAACAACAATATTCCACTTAGGCAATGTAGCTTTCTTCTGGGCTCTTTGTTAGAGTTTCGAAACGGCTTTTCCTCATTGTGTCTAATTTGTTCTTGGTTCCTGATGAAGACACTCTTAGGAGCCACAGCCATTCCAGGAACATTACTAGGACATTGTGTGCCTGGGGTGGGGGGTTTCTCTTCTTCCTTGCTCCCCTCAGTGATTTCAAGACCATCTAATAACTTCTTGACTTGCTTGAATGATAATTTCATTCTTTACCAACAAAGGGAAAATTATACTCTGGATCTGATTCTCACCAGTAGAACAGTGCTCTGGCAGCTGGATTAGAGATGATGGGAACCTTAGGAGGAAGTAACCCCACTTTCCTTTTAAAGTTTATGATATAAGGGGCAGCTAGGTGGTGCAGAGGATAGAGCACTGGCCCTGGATTTGGGAGGACCTGGGTTCAAATTTGGCCTCAGATACATAACACTTACTAGCTGTGTGACCCTGGACAAGTCACTTGACCCCATTGCCTAACCAAAAAAAAATAAAATTAAATTAAAAAAAATAAAGTTTATGATACAGAAGAAAGCCAGGCATAATCTCACATGCACCCTAGATTTGAGGAGAGACGATTACAAAGGATGCAGAGGAAGGATATAAGTTGGATTTCACAGACTAAAAAGTAAACCCAGGAGATACGGGTTCAGAATGAAATTTTAAATTCACCAAGGGAAAGAATTCAAGTGAGGAAGAAAAACAGGAGTTGTCTAAAAACACCAACCAACTGAGATTTTTAAATATAAGTACTATGGATGGCAAAAAGAGTAAGGAATACAGAATGAATTTTAAATATTATGGTAAGCAAAGAACAGTGTTAGGACTACTAAGGTTCAGCCTTATACGTAAGAACTGTAGTGGAGGGATGGTTAGAGTCCAGACAAATACAAAAGTATGTATATGTTAAAAGTACATCCTTTTGTCTGGACATACAGGTGAACATTTGTGTAAATATATGTATTGTATATGTTTGTATATTTCTTTTTTCTGGACTTGCACTATAATAGTCTGCTATACTACAGCCTCAGGGCCCTTATGTTACAGAAGTTAGCTAAAGCTCTTAAAGCCATTGCCAATGGCACTTTAGGTTCTGACTGATCCTCATTAAAACAGATATGAGTAAGGTCCTCTGAAAGATTTTCATCTGAGGGCCACCACTGCCCACCAAATGATGAATAATTTTGACCACAGTGATCATGAAACCATTTACTTAAAGCATGGAAGAGTTGAGAGCTTTATCCATGGAAAGAAAATCCATATTGATAAAATCAGATATGTATTAAAGAATAAGCAATACTTCAACCACTTTCTGAAGTGGAAACTTAAGGCCTAAAAAAAAACCTCACATGCTGGAACCAGGAGAGGATGTCATTAGGAAGAAGGAGGTTCCTCAAAAATTTGGTTGACTATCCAGCTCCAGCAATGTTTTAAAATTCAGTTAAGGAAAAAGATAATCCATGGACCATGACAGTGTATTCCCTTTATAGGGAAGATTTTTACAGGTGGAAAGAACCTTTGAGAAGGAACTATAACTCTGCTCTCTAGAATTAGACTGAAGAGGGAGAAACAGTGCACCATTTCAAAGAGGGCTTAAAGCTGTCCATAGTAATTGATTACCCTTCCAACCTTCAGCAAAGGTCTTATAAAATAGTTTAGAGTGTCACCTGAGACTGGTAATTGAAGTAATAAGTTAGGAAGCCGCACCCTCAATTGAGCAGTTTGAGTATATAAGGGTTGGAAAGCAAGTGTTTGGTTCGAGACATTGAAATGATGTTGTGACTGTGTGTTTTCAGGTGAGAAGCCTTGAGTAAATTATAAGGGAGTGCTTTGATCCTCTGGCTAGAGATCTCTGGAAGTTTTAAAGTGGTTTCTGATAGGGGAATAAGAATTAAGGCATGTGGAGGCAGGTTCCCCTAGCATTCACCTAGCTGGTGATTTTGAGTGTGCACTGGGGCTGGATCAATTCCTGTGGAGCAACTGTAGGTAGAGACAGAGACAAATTCTGGCAGACGTGAGAGCTGACTAGCACACTTCTGAGCTTCCAGTAGTTGCTACACAGGAGAGAGCTAAGTATACATATGATGGTATGGGTGTTTTGAGTGGGTGGGTGGATCAGCATGCCATCCTTATTGTTTCTACTACAATAGTAGGCCCCTCTTTACCGGGTGGAATATTGGATTTAAATGTACACGGGGAGTACAATTTCTAACCATAGGACTTGATTTCAGAATTCCAGTTAACTATAGTGATCAAACATTACCTGTTTCTCTTTTTCTGATGTTCTCTATTAGAATTTTCAGATTCACTACCACTACTTGTGTTACACCGTGAGCGGGACCTGCAGAAAACATACCCCAAAACTTAGGATAAGTATTGTTTAGGAAGAAAAAAAAATACCTTAAACGATGCCTCCTTAAATGATGCCTCCAAGCATTCTATTTTACAATATAAACACTAAGGAATTAATGACTTTAGCTCTTATTCCCTAGGTTAATATTTCTTCAATTAAAGTTAGGCATCTTTGGAAAATTCCTGGAAAGAAGACAAAGTTACAGAAGATTGAGTTTGTTGCCATATTGCAGCAGCAGGGGCATAACTATATCCAACAGGTTTGATAAAGTGAATCTATAAATCACATTGTGGAATAAATGATAATTAAAAATAGAATTACTGAAGAATCTTTAATAAACTAGAAGAGAAAAACTAAGCACATTTTCAAAAGCTTAGAAAATAGAACATTTTTAAGAGAAAATTTTAAGGGCTTAATGTAGGTATTAATCCCACATGTTCTAATTTGAATAGTATCACTATTACTGCTCAAGATGAAAAATTATATAGTTTGTCTACACAAACCAAAAAATTGTTTACACAATCTCTACCCATCCTCTGTTTTACCTTCTCCTTTGCTTTAGATCTGAGTCCTCACCACTGTTACGTGCTTTCCTGAGGGAGAAATAAAAAAGTAAGTTAAAGTAGATTATGATCAGCCAGTGAAGAAAAAAAACAAACCAGAAACTGCCCTTAACAAAAGAGATGACTTTTTAGAACTTGTCTCAAATCTCTCCTGTCACACAGTGACACAGAATTAAGCCCAAAATTGTTTATTCCCTTCAGTCACATCTGACTCTTTGTGATTCCATTTGGAGTTTTGTTGGGAAAGATACTGGAGTGGTTCGCCATTTCCTTCTCTAGCTTATTTTACAGCTGAGGAAACTGAGGCAAATAGGTTTAAGTGACTTGCTCAGGGTCACATACCTAGTAAGCACCTGAGGGCTGCAACCTAGCTGACCCCAAATCCCTTGTATTCACCCAAATTAATGACAAATCCTGTTTGTCAATGTCAGAATTAATCAATTTATATAGGAAGAGTGAGTAAGGGCAAGTCTTATTGATAGTAGGAAAAGAATCAGTGTTCTGGATCAATATATAGCAATAATATAGCAATTTTTTTCTTTCTCACATGTATTTATTTATAATTTATGGAATAAAATAAGCATTTCCATAATATAGTAGAATAAAAAAGATGATTGTATATGAAACTGTCAATCTATTACATACAACTTACTATTCCTTTTAAATATATAATAAAGTTAAATAAATTTCTTTTTTTCCCTTTTTTTCTTCCCTTTTTCCACTCCCACCCTTGAGATGGCATATGTAAAACTATTCTCTACAAACTTCTATTTATCAGTTCTTTCTCTGTATGCAGATACTGTCTTTCTTCATATGTCCTTTATAGTTAATTTGGGTATTCATAATAGTCAAAATGATTTATTTGATGTATATCATTCTAAACACAATATTGCTGTTACTAAATACAATGTTCTCTTGGTTCTGCTCATTTTGCTCTTCATAATTTTGTGCAAGTCTTTCCATGTTTTTCTAAGATCACTGAGCTCTTCATTTCTTATAGCACAGTAGTATTCCATCACAACTAGATGCCACAACTTGTTCAGCCATTCCCGATTGATGGGCATCCTCACAATTTCCAGTTCTCTGCCACCACAAAAAGAGCTGCTATAAACATTTTAGAACATATAGGTAGGTTCTTTTCTTTTTCCCCTAATGATCTTTGGAAATAGACCTAGTAGTGGTATTGCTGGGTCAAAAGGTATAATCAGTTTAATAACTCTTTGGGCATAATTTGCCTCCCAAAATGGTTGGATCAGTTCACAATTCCACCAACAATGAATTATTGTCCCAATTTTTCCACATTCCCTCCAACATTTGTTACTTTCCCCTTTAATCATTTTAGCCAGTCTGGTAGGTATAAAAATGATATTTCAAGGTTGTTTTAATTTGTATTTCTCTAATCAATAATGATTTGGAATATTTTTTCATATGACTACACATCATTTTAATTTCTTCATTGAAAACTACCTGTTCCTTTAGAGATATAAATTTTCTTCTGATCACTGCTTTTGCTATACACCATAGGTTTTAATATGTTGTCTCATTATTGTCATTCTCCTTAATGAAATTTTTGATTATTTTTATGATTTCTTCTTTAATGTGTTCATTCTTTAAGATTAGGTTGTTTAATTTCCAATTAGTTTTTAATCTTTGTTTTCATGGCCTCTTACCAAATTTAATTTTTATTACATTGTGATCTGAAAAGGATACTTCTGCTTTTAACTATAAAATTGCTATGTACTAATATATGATCAATCTTTATAAAGGTACCATGAACTGCTAAGAAAAAGGTATATTCCTTTCTATTTCTATTCAATTCTCTCTAAATATCTATCATTGCTAGGTAAGTTATTCTTGGAAGCAACCCCAGCTCTTTTACTCTTCAAAACATAATGTTTCGAGACCTGTGGTCTTTTATTATAGAAGCTGCTAGGTCTTGTGAAATCCTGACTGTATTTCTGTAGTATTTATATTGTTTTTTTTCTTGTTACTTGCAATATTTTCTCCTTAATCTGGGAGTTTTGAAACTTGGCTATGACATTCCTATGTTTTCCTCTTGGGATATCTTTCAGGATGGTAAATTTTTTCTATTTCTACTCTCTTGTTCTCGAACTTCAGGGCAGTTTTCCTTAATAATTTCTTGTATTATTGTATCCAGCTTCTTTTTTTGATCATAACTTTCAGGTAGTCCAACAATTCTTATATTTTCTCTCTTTGATCTGTTGTCCAAATCAGTTGTTTTTCTAATGAGATGTTTCAGATTCTCTTCTATTTTTCTATTTTTATTATTTCTTGGTGTCTTATAGTATCATTCAATTCCACTTACCCAATTTTAGTTTTCAAGGAGTTATTTTCTTCTTTAAGATTTTGGACCTCTTTTTATAATTTTCTTGAATTGTTTTTGGTTTTTCCCCCTAATTTTTCCTTGATCTCTCTTATTTGATTTTTGTTTATTTGTTTGTTTGTTTTTTGGCTAGGCAATGGGGTTAAGTGACTTGCCCAGGGTCACATAGCTAGTTAAGTGTTACGTGTCTGAGTTCAGATTTGAACTTAAATCCTCCTGAATCCAGGGCCGGTGCTCTATCCACTGCGCCACCTAGCTGCCCCTCTTATTTGATTTTTGAATTCCTCTTTAAGTGCTTCCAAGAGCTCTTTTTGGGCTTGTGGCCATTTGATATTTTTATTTTATTTTTAGCACCTTGTTATTATAATCAAGTTTTAATTGGGTTGTCTTAAACATGTACTAGGGATACTTAGGTGGTGTAGTGGATACAGTGCTATGCCTGGAGTCAGGACATGTGAGTTCAAAACCAGCCTCAGACATTTACTAGCCTTGTGACCCCGGGCAAGTCATTTAACCTTTATCTGCCCCAGTTTCCTCAAATGTAAAATAGGGACACTGATGAGGAAATGGGAAACCACTCCAGTATCTTTGCCAAGAAAACCCCATAAAAATAGGGTCTTGAAGAGTCTTTAAGACTGAACAAAAACATATGCTAATTGGTAAGATAATTTAAAAGGACATAGAAGCTAAGATCCTATTCTTAGGCATAAGTTTTCTTGTCTTGATAAACTGAATACCACTCTTGGGCCACACTACTAGAAAGGATTTTGTAACCCCTTACTAATTCCTTATCTCAGATAACTATGCAGCCTACACAAAGCAAAATGAAACAATCTCTAATCTCAAAGTATGTGCTATTTTGGGAACTATTTGGCTCATTTCATATTCCCAGACTCTAAATGGAAGACCCATTACCCTTCTTCCAGATCCTTATTTTTTATTTCTGTGACTGATTAATATAGTCTCAGTATTCAGCTCAGAACTATTCCCTAGTAATGCTCCTTTTAGATGACTAGACTTTTTCACTTTTAAAATCATTAACATTAGCATGGAGTTTTATAAACCCCTCCCTATAAGACTATATCTAGTTTGTTTGCTATTAATTTTATAGGAAAGAAAGAGTTGGGAGATGGAAGGTTAAGGACCTTAGAAATGAAGTCACAAGAGGTGGCAGGTGGAAAACAGGAGATCCAGACCTGTAACTCAGGATAAGTCAGAAAATGCCACACAATCCTGGTTAGGGAACGCTATACATATGAAGTAAGTTTGAGATTGAGACAGCTTCCTAACTTATATAAGGGCATTTAAGGTGGTACAGGGGATAGAGCACTGGGCATAGTCAGGAAGACTTGAGTTAAAATTTGCACTCACATTTAAACCAGGCATGGCATTTAGCCTTTCAGCCTCAGTTTTCTCATCTGTAAAATGGGGTTAAGAACAGCACCTTCAGAGTGGTTGGGAAGATATTTGAAATTTGTGAATCACTTTGTAAACCTTAAAGTGCTATATAAATTATAACCACTATTTATTTTCTTCCATACAGGTACAAGTTTGATTCCACAACTAGAATCTATTAATATTGCTTTTTCTAGTCTTCAGGAATATACAGGGTTTCACTCAGCTTCAAAAGCCAACTTGTTAGAGCCTTATTGTTAAGTTACATTATTAATATTTCAACATTTCAGAGTCTGGCTGTAATTTTTGGAAAGGATTAATACCTTTTAGAGAAATGTTTAGGTTAATTAGTGTGAAAGCATATTTCTGATCAGTGTTTTTTATGGAGCTATCCTCTGAAGCATTTGGTTGGTTCAAAGGCAATGCTTCATGTTTTGTGTGTGAAAGCAGAAAGTTCAAAATATGGGGAGAAAAATCTGTGGATGGATATGTAAAAGAGTGTTAACGTATGGACAGATGTGAAAGAAAACAAAAAGGCCAGGGATTGTGAATCAAGAGTTCACTGTTGTATATAGTCTACTTACCTTCTCCTAATTGGCTGTCCAGGCTCATGGTCACTACTGCCAGATGGGTTTCGTCTCCGTGAATAAGGGAACTTCGGTGATTTATTCCGGTCATTGGAACAATTGTACAGTCCTCTGGAGTTAAGAATATAACAAAAAACAATCAAAACCTGAAAATTCAACAATTACACCTAGCCCAACCCAAAGAAATCCTTACAAGACTCCACTTTGTCTAAAAACAATTTTCTAGCCCGACAAAGATAGCAAAAAGAAATGACTCAACAGGAAACATGATTATTTGCAGGGACACATGACATTAACAAATGGATATACTAGAAATACTTAGAGCCTGACAAGAGGCCATAATGAAATAATTTTTGTTGTAAGCAATTCTAAGCTAAACATGGTTTTTAAAAATAAGTAATGATGATAATAACCATTATTATAATTATATAGAGTTCTAAAGTTTAAAAGGGAGCCCTTCCTCTCACAATAACCCTGTCAAATAGATAAAAAGTGTATTCTGATTTACACACTAAGAATCTGAGGCTAATTAACTGACTTAACCAGCCAGTAAGTGTTGTTGCTGGGGTATGAACCCAGGCCTCCTAAATTCGTATGTTCATAGTCAAACTTTCCATTAAATAGTCATTGAAAAGGAAGAAATTCTGACTAATCAGAATATCTTTGACATTAAGTGTGGTTAATTAGCATAAGCTAGTTTTTGTGTAACATTTTCCAGTAGTGTTTTATATTAGAATATGTTCTGTTGAGATCTTTACTTAGAGCTGTGGTTCCTGAAGATTTAGGAACTTGATGATTTGCATGCTGATAGGTAGCTGACAGGCAACCAAATTCTCTTATTTACATGATCTCCTTTGATACAGGGTATGGCTGACAATGATAAAAGTGATGAACTTTACCCCTGTGGTCCATTTTCCTCCCATGGTGCATTTGTTTTGCTTCTTTGGGTTTCAGGGCTATTTTCAAATTTTGACTTCTTAAAGCTTTTAATTGAAAAAGAAAAATCCAAATCAACACATAAAATAGAAATTGAAAAAAAAGCATTAATTAATATGCAAATTTCTTTAGTCAACTTTATGTGATTTAAAATAATCTAATATTAAGCTCCCAAGGAATATATATATTTATTTTATGTATATATATATATATATATATATTTTTTTTTTTTTTTTCAATTCTGCTTATGCTGTTTGCGCTCAGCAAGAGTAAGGCCATCAATCACTGGAAGAAGCTCCTATACATTGAATGGTCTAAATTCTTAAGCTTAACTCAGTTTGCCCAGGGAACAGGCAGAATGGAAAGAAGAAAAGGTTAAAGGAACCAGACCTGCAATTTCCTATTGAGGATAATCACTTGCTTTCTTACAACAATAGGAATATGCTTGGGTTCTAGCCCTGGCTGTAAATTATGGCCCAAGACCTAAGACAAAGCAATCCAAACTGACATTTTCTGACCTTATCTTGAAATTTCAAATAGAATTTCTATTCTTACTTCCTGACAAAGAAACATTTCTGCCCTGAAAATGTCTCTAGGACAGCAAGATCAAATAAGTCAATACTTAAAAGAAATTATTTCAGACTATTCATTGAAAGGACAAATACTAATGTTGAAGCTTCAATATTTTGATAATGAGAAGACAGCACTCATTGTAAAAGACTCTGCTGGGAAAAATTAAGGAAAGGGGCAGCTAGGTAGCTCAGGGGATAGAGCATCAGCCCTGGAGTCAGAAGGACCTAAGTTCAACTCGAGTCTCAGACCAGACTCTTGACACTTACTGTGTGACCCTGGGCAAGTCACTTAACCCCAATTGCCTCGCCAAAACAAACCAAAAAAAGATAATGGAGGATAGAAGGGCCTAGCTTGCTATAATCCATGGGGTAACAAAAAGTCAGACACAACTTAAGAACTGAGCAAAAACAAAATTAAGATCAGTTTCTTATGTATCATTGTTCTAAGGAAACTGATTCTCTCTTCTTTTTTTATAGCCTGATAGAAACAAAAGGATTTTAATAAAAAGCTGGATTTAAAAGTAGATTAAGAACTAAGTTATATTTCTTGGAAGTGCCACATTGATTTTGCCTAGTCATTTAAGGCTGTTTGCTAGGTTTTTCTCCTTTCTCCTTCCCAATGTGGCTTTTGAAGTCATTTGTTGGAACTCACTTAGTTCATCATTGTTTTGATGCTTACTGTTTTGTGTTATAGTTTGATATCTGGAATTTCTGGGCTCTTTGTTGTTCAGTCATTCAGTTGTGTCCATTCTTCTGTGTTAGCTAAGAGATGGAGAGGTTAAACTGAACATTTACATCTTGGGTATCAGTGAACTTGAATGGATGAGAATGGATGATTTTAATTCAGGTGATCATGACATATAGGACTGTGGGCAGAAATACCTTAGAAATGGAGTAACCCTCATAGACAGCAAAAGGATGTGAAGCAGTACTAGGGTACAATCTCAAGTGATACAAGTCTATGTTCCAACCAGAGATGCCAAAGAGGCCAAAGTTGATCATTTCATAGTGACCTACATTGCAGGTCCTATAACATCTTCTAGAAATAATACCAAAAAAAAAAAAAAAGTCACTTTCATCATAGGGGATTTGAAATTAAAAGATAATTGGAATAACAGAAAAGCTTGGTATTGCAGTACAAAATGAAGCAGGGCAGAGACTAATAGAGTTTTGTCAAGATAACTCTTTGCTGGTCATGGCAAACACTCTTCTTCTTTTTTTTTTTTTTTTTTGGCAAGGCAATGGAGTGAAGTGACTTGCCCAGGGTCACACAGCTAGTAAGTGTCAAGTGTCTAAGGCCAGATTTGAACTCAGGTCTTCCTGAATCCAGGGCTGATGCTCCAGCCACTGTGCCATCTAGCTGCCCCATAAAGAGTCAACATAGCTTCATCAAGAGCATGTGCTTTTTTGTTTGTTTCTTTCTTTCTTTTGTTAGGTAATAGGGTTAAGTGACTTGCCCAGGGTCACACAGCTAGTAAGTGGAAAGTGCCTGAGGTCAAATTTGAACTCAGCTCCTCCTGACTCCAGGGCCGGTGCTCTATCCACTGCTTCACCTAGCTGCCCCTCAAACACTCTTTTTCAACAACCCAAAAGGTGATTCTATACATGGACATCACCAGATAGTCAATATTGAAATCAGATTGATTATACACTTTGCCACCAAAGGTGGAGAAGATCTATGCAGTCCGTTAATACAAGAGGTGGAGCTGACTATGGTTCAGATCATAAGCTTTTTATTGGAAAATTTAGATTGCAAATTGCAAGAAGGGAAAACCATCAACATAGATATGATCTAACTAATTGATGTAATAAATGACTATAAAATTGTAGACACAAAACTTGGAGCACTGGAATACATTAACCATATATAGAATACAAATAAATTTTTTATACAGACTTGGCATCACAACCATGTTCCCAATACAAAAGGCTTTTCAGAGAGAAAAGAAAAATCTTAAATATTTGCTAACACATTGCTAGAGGAAAAAATGAATCATAAAGAGATAAGAAAGGATGCTAGAAAAGAGGGACATAAAAAGATAAAAAAAAAGAGGAAGAAAGTGAAAGTGAAAAAATAATTTTGAGTAGTGAACTAACTGGCAGATGACAAAAACCATTTCTGATTCATAGTAGACACTCACTTTTACATGGCATCATGTCAGATATTAGTACTGTCCATAAAGATGAAGTTGAAATAGATTGAATTCATTATGTACCACTGAAGAGGCTTGGGGTCTGAATTTCTTGAGAGATTAATTTTTTAAAATAATTTTTTTATTGATTTCTGTTTATTACAGCCCCACAATATGTCCATGTATCTGTTTGTTTTTAGAGAGAAAAAAAATCAATACATTGGAAAAGTATAAAAACATGTGCAATGTATAGCACCTGTGGACTTCCCACCTCCACCAAAGGGGATAGGCAAGTGGATGTCTTTTCAGATCTCTTCATCCAAGTCTCCCTTGATTTTTAGAATTTTGTTACATTTACTTTTGATATTTTGGTGTGTCATTCTTTCTATTTACATTGTTGTATTTACTGTGTTAGTGTTGTCTTGATTCTGCTTACTTCACTGTGCATCAGTTCATATAGGTCTTTCCAAGTCTGTCTGTATTCATCGCACACAAACTGTAGACAGTTTGTTTAGCCATTCCCCAAACAATAGTCATCTACTTTGTTTCTAATTCTTCATTATCACAAAAAGTACTGCTATAAATATTTTGGAATAGAGAGGGACTTTTTTTTCTTACCAATGGCAATAATACTCTCTGGTTCAAAGGATATGGGCATTTATTCACTTTATTTGCATAAGTGAAAATTGCTTTTTCAGAACGGTTCTACCATTTCACTGGTCCACTAATAATGTATTAGTGTGCCTATCTTCCCCAAACCCCTCCAATGTTGACTTACCATTTTTTAACCACTTTTGCCAATTTGCAGAGTTTAAATGTGCATTCTCTTAATACTGACTTGGAGCTTATTTTCAAGTGGTTTTGAATGCTCTTCAATTTCTTGGAGAACTATTTGTTCATATCCTTTGACCATTTATCTATTGGAGAAGGGCTATTAGTTTTATATGTAAATTGTTGATATGCTTCAATAACAATTCTTCTAAGAGAAATTTGATACCAAGTTTTTATCCATTCAATTGATTTCCTTGTCTTGGATATATGAATGTTGTTTGTGTAGAAGGTTTTCAGTTTCAAGTAATCAGATTTATTATCTTTTGTCATTGCCTTTTTCTTTTTTGGTTAAGAATACATTCTTACCCATAGCTAATAAAGTGATATATGACCTGTTTGTCTTCTAACTTCTATAGTATGATACTTAAATTAAGGTTTTACATATCCATTATGTAGTATGGTGTAAGATGTTGGTTTAAATCTAATTTCTGTCAGACTTCTTTATAGCTAATTTTCTCCTAAATAACATTTCCCCCCACTTTATCTAATACTAGCTTATTAAGACCTATTTTTAATCTTTCTTATCCAGACTGTTCCAGGGATCTACAACCAGATGGTTTAAATGATTGCCGCTCTGTAATAGTTTGAGGTCTGGAAGTGTTATTACTACCTTCCATCATTTCCATTGATATTCTAGATACTTTGTTTTTCCCAAATTAATTTTATTTTATTAAGCTCTGTACAGTATCCTCTTGGCAGTTTGATACAGCATTCAAAGTGTAAATTAATACTGGTAGAATTATCATTTGCATGGCCTAGCCATAAGCACTATTCCTCCAGCTATTTAGTTGGTTCCTTAATTCTTTAATAAAGAGTGTTTTGTAATTGAATCTATGAGTCTTTTGTGTGCTTTGGTAGGTTGATCCTGTAGGTAGACTAAAGCTATTTGTGTATCCCTGGCCTGTTCATATTGCAGCTCCTGCCCTGTTTGTGACCCCTCCTTTTCTCCTGAAGAAAACTGCAACAGTCCTATGTTTTACAAAATATGTCTAACACAAAGAAAAAACTTTCCTGTTACATGTCCCCAATCCTCAACAAGTCCTGACCAAGCCAGAGGTGCCCTGTCCTCAATCTACCTCCTGCCTAAATGAGACCTATATAAACTTTGTCTTTTTGTAGAACTCCCTTGCTAGTAAACTCATTATAAACCCTTGTTTATTTTCCAGATAAATCTGGTTCTAGTATTGATTTGTTCTGGCACCAGTAACTTTATTCACAGTAAGTGGTGGCAGCAGTGGGATGCCAGTCTAACAGAATCATGAACCTAAAATGCTTAGGGCTCCACTCGCTCAGGATAGCCCTCAGTCTGGTGCTGGGAATCTGGTGAGTACTAGGTACTAAGAGAACATTGAAAAGGGAAAAAGACTTACAGGTGTAAAAATATTTACAGCAGCCCTATTTGCGGTGGCAAAATATTAGAAATTGAGAGGATGCCCATCAATTGGGGAATGTCTGAACAAGCTGTGGTTTATGAATGTAATGGAATAATATTGTGCTATAAGAAATGATGAACAGGCAGATTTCAGAAAAACCTGGAAAGACTTGTGCAAACTGATGCAAAGTGAAATGAGAAGAACCAGGGAAACATTGTACATAGTAACATGAGCATTGTGTGATGATCAACTATGAGTGACTCAGATCTTCTCAGCAACATAACAATATAAGACAAATGCAAAAGACTCACGAAGGAAAATGCTTTCCATATCCAGATAAAGAACTGATGGACTCAAAATGCATATAGAAGCATTTTTTTCCCCCACTCACTTTATTCTTTTTCATGGTTTTATTTCTTTTTGATCTGTTTCTTTTTCCACAACTATGACAAATGTAGAAATATGTTTTTTACATCAAACTACCATTTTCAGAAGAGGGGAGGAGAGGGAGAAAAATTTGGAACTCAAAATCTTGTAAAAATGAATGTTAAAATTTTTTCTTAATATGTAATTGGGGAAAAAATACTATTTAAATTAAAAAAAAAAGATAGTATCCTAACTTCACTTCACTGCCCTCACTTTTTCCTTTCTTTCATTCTTCAACCCCCTGCAACTTAAATCACAATTGAAATTGTACTTTTAATTGCCAAATCTTTTTTTTCTGCCTGTTGCATGTAACTATCTTGCATTTCTGACTGTTCCTTACATCATGGTCCCTAACTGTAAATGTTCCCAAACGTTATTTTCTGGCCCCCTTCTTTTCTCCTTCTATAATCTCTCTCTCCTCACCTCAGTAAACTCTTACATCTACAATCCTGAGCTTCAGTTGTGTATTACCAACTGCCATTCTGGAGACAATGTGTGTAAAACTGAAGAACCTCCCCCTTTCCTGAACCTCTCTACTTCTGTCAAAGGCATCACCGTCATTCTAGTGTCTGTTTTGTAATCTCACCTTACATATCCAATCACTTGGGAAATAATGCCTTTTTTACCTTCACTACATCTCCTGCATCTTTCTGACTCCCCACTTATACAGCTCCCACTTCTAATTGGTTTTCCTGACTCAAGTCTTTCCACTCTAGTCCATGGTATACCCTGCTACCAAAGCAATTTTTCCTAAGTGTAGATTTGACCTTGAGGCTTCTCTCCTCAACCAACTCCAGTGACTTACCATTCCCCTTGAGATAAAACGATAAAAATAAAATTATGAAAAACTATCCTTCTATCCTCATTGCATATTACTTTCCTCTCACCCTGTGGGATCAAGACAAACTTGCATTTTCTTCCTAGGCTTTCTCTCAGTGGCCATTACCATGCCTGGCATTTGCTGTTTACTACTTCCACCTACTAGAATACCTCTCTTCCTTTAAGGTGCAGCTCAGGCACCATTTTCTTAAGACTTTCCTGTTCTTGCAAATGCTATTACCTTCCATTTCAAACTACCTTGTGTTTAACTAATCTAACTCAAATATTGATTTTTAGTCTTAACGTTCTGCCATAAGCAGCAAGTATCGCATTTCCTTAGCTTCCGGCCAGGGTTAAAAAGTGAGACACCATATGAACTCAGGATTGTCTCAGATTGTAGTTTAGTTGATGACTGCGGTAGTCTATGACAACTGATAAGTCTCACATAAAGAAGAGCAAGTAAGCTGTACTGAGGCTACTAATTGTCACTTTTCATTGGATTACTTTCCAGGGACCAGACAACAGAATTAGGTGAACCTGCTAAGAGGTGGCTATGTCCTTGTGGGAGGAAATTCCCAGGGCCTCAGACAGACAAGGATATTAAACCTCTATTGTCTAGGTGAAATTGATTCCTAAAGAGGAAAGGAGACACAGGGTAATCAGGATAGGAGGCTCTTGGCCTCAGAAAGAAGAACCAAGAAAAAATGGGTAGATACTGCAAAAAAAAAAAATCTAATTTAAACTTGATAGGAAAAACTTTCTAATGAGGGATGTCTGAAAGTGTAATAATGTGTGGTTCTCCTTAGAGGTCTTCAAAGTTTGGACTTCTTGTGAGGATTAATTGTGGATATGAGTAGGCATTTTCAACTCAAAATGCTATCATTCTTAAAGCAGCCTAAATGTACAAGAGTCCCGAAAAAAAGGCATTATTGTCATTGTTGTTGGCATGGGTTCTGTACAACCCCTTTCCAATTCTCAATTTGATGATTCTGTGTACCCTTGGAGAATACTGGCTGACTCATGAGAATTACAAATTCTATTTAAAAAAATCAAATGAGTAGATTCTTACCTTTGCTGACATCTAAAATAGTTGTCCTTCATCCCTATTCTAAGCCATAATCTATTGTGTTTCTTTGGTCATGTACACTAACCTTTTAACTGGCAAGGGTGCAATAATTTTGGTGGTTCCTTCATTCACTCCATTTTCCATATTTGCAGTAACCTGGTGTATGCTGTTTGATCCTAATTGCCAGAAAAGAGAGAGAGAAAAGAACATGGAAGGAGAATGAGAAAAAGAAGTTCCAATAATTCATGCATTCAACAAACATTTATTAATTGCCTAGTATGAGCTGTGTATTTAGCTAGAGCTGTGAATTCAGCACTTTGAAATTTGTTGTCTGATTTGCAACAGCATTGTTACATGTTTGCGGGCATATTTAATTATCCTATTTTGGAGAGAAGGAATGTGATATTTGTAGGAGACTATTAATATCAGACAAATTACTAGTGTTTTGGACTTGAAGTCAAGTTGACTGGTTCACTGATATGAATCATTTACTGGTTCAAACTCTAGTGCTTTGCTTACTACATGAAAAGAAGAGACTAACAGAAAGAAGAGAACAGGAGTTCCATTTAAGAAAATAGACTTTTTAGGGGGCAGCTAGGTGGCACAGTGGATACAGCACTGGCCCTGGATTCAGGAGGACCTGAGTTCAAATCCAGTCTCATACACATAACACTTACTAGCTGTATGACCGTGGGTAAGTCCCTTAACCCCATTGCCTAACCCCTCCCCCCAAAAAATTTAAAAAAAAGAAAAGTCTATTTTATGGATGGTTAAACACATCATAATGAATCATAATTAAGATCTTTCCCTTCAGCAATATCATGCTGACCTTGATCTACCTCGTAAGACTGTTCCATCAAAAACAAAATCTCTCCTTTACAGAGTCAAGATGGCCCCCTAATTATACCGAAGTAGAATTTAACAATATTAAAGCTAGGCTCTAATTTATTGGGTACAATATAAATAACAATTAAAACATGAAGACATCTGAATAAAAGCAATTCTCTAAGACAATAAACTGTAGAATAGTTACCAAGCTTTAACAGTAGAGGGAGTTTACTCACTGCAAGGAATTTCTCTGGGATTTCATTTATGACTTGCTCAATTAATCCTTCTGATGTTGGGTTATTTAAATTTTGTAGATATTCATCCAATTCATTTCATCAGTTTTGTTGGCATACAATTGGGTAAAAGAGTTCTAATAATTTTGTTGATTTCTGCTTCTTTTATTGTGAATATAAAGTTAGCTTCACTCATTAGCAATTTTAGCTTTTCTTACAACTTTTCAGTTTTCTTAGTTCAATATGGTGGTTTTTGCTTTCAATTTTTATTTTTATTTTTAGAATTAGTATTTAATTGTGCTTTTATGATTTGTTGCTTTTATAGATTTGCTTTTAGTTCAATTCCTTTATTCATTCTTTTTCTTTAGTTAACTGATGTGTTCAGAGATATACATTTTCTCCAAATCACTGCTTTGGCTGTATTCCAAAAGTTTTGGTGTCTTTCTCTGTTATGTTTCTTATATTTTTCAAGGAAAATCCTCCTACTTTCTCTTCCTCTCATATTCCCTGTCTACTCTCTTGACAAAGCAAGTAAAACAAACCCCTGTCAAGCAAAACACATTTTACCCACTAGCTGTGTAAAAAAAAAAATCTTTATTTACATTTTGAATCATATCACTTGTCTGTTGATCTATTCTCTTCTTTTTGATGAAAGTGTTTAGAAATAAAAAATTTCCCTCTAAGGCCTGCTTTGGTTGCATCCAAATTTTTTTTTAAACATGTTTTCTCACTGTTTTCATTAACTTTAAGGAAATTTTCTATTGAGAATAATTTAAATGCTTGGAATGCCATCAAAGTCTCATATTTGTCCCCTGTAGGATTAAAGTACTAAGTTTTAATCCTTTCTGGTCCACATTTTGTTCAGAATTCTTGCATGATCCTGACTGCAGCTCTGTAGCATTTGAATTACTTCTTTCTTCTTGTCTGCAGTTTTTTCTTTATCTTGAGTATTTCTGTCACCATAGTAGCCTTTTATGGTGTGATTAATTTTTAGTTCTGTTGTGATTAACTGCAGATGAGACAATGGCCTCTTGGAATAATCTGAGCCCATGGTGATGAAGGTCTGCTATTTTTAACGCAAAAATGCTTGTGATAAATGCTTGTAAATGCCTGTAATTGATTCGATTTTCTAGAGTCACAGTATAACTTCTTTTGTATGATGAATGTCATTTCAGGGAAGACACACTGATTTCACTATTAATAAAGTGAATTGTATATCATTTGGATTTTAGTTTCATTGCTAATAAAGAATATGCTTTACAGCAACAACCTCCCCCTTCCCTAAAGTATTTATTAAAAGGCTCATAGACTTAATTACAACTAAATTTTCAGAAAAAGACTATTCAGCATCCCAGATTGAGATGAATTGCAAGACATTTAAAATATTACTAAATTGCTTTTTCATAATTCTGTATTCTGTTTTGTTCATTTCTAGAATAAGACACTGGAATCAGGGGGATGAGGAATTTAGGCTCTTCTGAGACCTTTTTAATCAGAGAGGAAGTTAGATTTCTTTCTGTTCCTGCATTGATAAAATTATTAAGGTATACTTTTAGTTCTTCACCACAAACAGCTTTTTAAGACACTGTGGATGTTAATTCTACCCAGCAGTTCAACTGCTACCTCCACTTACCCTACCCTGAAGATTCAAGCAATTTTACATTCATTTGAATGGGAAAGGTTTTGGTTTGTACATAAAGATACTTTATCACTTACAACCTTATTACAATCATCTGAGAAAAATCTTTCCAGCATACTGGATGTGAATTACTTAAGCAATGGGAATTTTAGAATCAAACATGGAGAGCTGGAAGTGACCTCAGAGGCTGTTTTTTGTCTAATCTTTACATATAAAAGCCAGATAGGTGACACTGGAAGACCTTATTTAGAATTCATCCTCAGATGCTTCCTAGCTCTGTGACCTTGAGTGAAAAGACACCCTGAGTGATTCCGTGTTTAAACCTTGCTTTATCTTTGGATCAAGTGCACAGCCAGCCTACAGAAGATGGCAGTCTGAAAATACCTTTCTGCATATGTAGTTAGATATGGGAACACTCATATGTACCAATCTTGACCTTAAATGGAAGTTGTTGATTACTCTCTAAAGCAGTTCTATCCCCTTCAACTGCCTATTCCCTTGCTGTGTTAATAAACTACTTTTATCTCCCTTAGTTTGTGTCACTGACCATGGCAAGGCCTGAAAAAGCATTTCCTGTTAACAATTTGACGACTCCCACACTACCCTTTGCTCACATGCCTACTCTGCAGCGGATACCAGGACCGGCATTCCAACCTTTGTCCAATTGTGGGTTGGCGTAGACTCTCAGGACTCAGTCAGCCATGAAGTGGTGAGTTGTCTCCCCAAACTTGGGACATAGGAAAGGGGAACAGGTTGTGAGTCCAAAATTGATTTTATCATTTGTGCAGGAAGACACAGGAATAGGGCCACCAAAGGGCAAAGGCAGTGGTCTTGACCCAGCATTAAGTCATAAAGGAACAGAATGGTCAAGGCATAATAGTATCATTATTGGATCTGGACAGAGTAAGTCTCCTGATGCCTACCCACTAGGCAATCTATTACAGGATAAGTGAAAATTACCAGTTAAACTGGCAATTAAAGTAAAGCTCAGCATAGACCACACTCCTTATATAGATAACAGTGGAAAACAAATATGTCCAGATGAAGATGGGAGAATATAGAACCTTTGAATGTCAGCTGTGCATGCTAAAATCCAGACTTGGAAGGTCTAGAACCTAGGCTAATGAACTATTAGGATTGGCCAGAACTTTCAAATGGAGACTAATTCTCTTTACCAAATCCACTGGCAGGTCAACCATACAATCCAGATGTCTCAGAAAAAAGACCATGGCACCCTTACGAGCCATTTTGTAGCAAATGGTCAGAGGAAAGTATATGTCCTCTTTTCACCAGGAGATGTTGTATTATGGCAATAATCCACTCTACCCTTTCAGAGGGACCCTGTCACTGTCATCAAGGAAATTAAGACATAAGAAGACACAATACCAGTTGAAAGGGCATCAATTATTAGATGCCTTTTCTCACAAATGATGAGAAAGCAAAAGTCCTGTCCTATGTGGTGAAGTTAGGATGACATGGCCTCATTGGAATTAGAATAATGAGAGTGACTGGGGAATATCTAGGGCAACAAATGACTGTCTATGATGCTCTAGATCAGGCAGCACAACCATCAATAAATTGGGGAAAATTTCGTGCCACTTAACTAAAAATTTAGATGAACATAGTGACTTTATTTCTATATTTATTTGTTTGCTGCCACTCAGAGATTTGTTCAGTTGAACCCAGAAAACGAGCAAAGGGAAATCGCTTCATCTTATGTTAATAAATCAGCAGATGTTCACAATTTCATAAATTCTGTCCTGGCCGGAGTGGGAAAACTATTAATGAAATCAGGCGATGCAGGAAGAAAGTAGAGAGGAATAAGGATCAGAAAGGGAAATTGAGAAAGCCAGGGGTACCCCCAATATGTTTTTATTGCAAAAGAATAAATATGTGCAATGATGGTTGCTGTTAAGTAACCCCCTAAAGGCTTTCTAATGTTAAGGGCTAAAAGGGTAATAGTCTTCTTAGGAAAAAGTGACCTGAGAGCTTTAACCACTAGCTACCATACCTTCATTTTCATATCTTTTTATTACTGTGAAGTAAACTTACAGCTATTCACTGTGATCCAGAAGAAGTCATCACTCTGGGACAGGAATCTAAGAAGTTTCTGGTACTTCCGGTGACTGATTCGCTTCCAGGTATTGGTATTTATGGTTCTTGAAGTCAGCCAAGCCACGCCTGTGCTGCTCCAGATTAAGGATAGACTGCCCCCTTGTGTGCAACAATATATCACTTTAGAAGCTAGTCAGAGATGGCTTACGTCTATCTGGGGGTGATGGTGAAAGCTGTGTACCGTCTATGAGGAAGACCTATCTGTATACTGTTTAATCTGGCATCTGAGGGTTATCAATTTTGTCATCCCAAGAGCCGTCCTGGTTCTGAATCCTATTTCTCCTAACTTCAACCTTCTCCACAATAGGAGCATATTTATTCTCTTTGACTTGTGTCCTGCTTTTTGAGTATTCTGGTAGAT